TTGACTGTTCAGTACACTCGCCAATATAGTCGTGAAAACACTCCCCCGAACACTAGGAGAGTGCAAACGGGGCATAAGTCGGTGGTCAAAGAGGCAAGTGCTCCCGCCGAACGCGGTCGACGCCGACAAATAAAAATACATTGGTCTCGAGATAAATAAAACGATACGACTAGCGGAGCGAGCTCCGGCGGCGCCGCGCGTCTCGCCGCCCCCGCAAAATATAACGTAACGCTCATTCAAAACAAATGCAACGTCGGGGCCGAAACCTCCCTCGCGGACCTGAGCAGGAACAGGCGGCGGCCGGCGAGAGGGTCTGCGGCGAGGCGCGCGAGGCCGGGGCTCCGCCACGCGCGCCGCCGCGGCTGCGCGCCTCCGCTGGCTTATTTTTTTGTATTTTTCTCGTTTTTGGGAGCGCGGAGGCGCGCAACGGCGGCGGCGCCCGTGGCCAGAGCCGACACTTAACTACTAAAATTTTCACAAAATAATACCTAACGCCAGAATTTGGGCGACGCCGCCGCCGGGGCGCGTGTCCACCCGCCCCGGCGCCGAAGCCGCGACGCGCATAAACGAAACTTAGCACGAAGGGCGCTCCGTCCAATGGCTGGCTACGCGGACGCCACGTTGAGCAGCAGCTTGAGCGTGAGCGCGCGGTCGGGCTGGTCGCGGCAGCGGCCGTCGCGCCACTCGCGCCGCCAGTGCGTGGGCGGCGGCGGCAGCGACGTGGCCGCGGGGGCCGAGCCCCACTTGCCGGCCGCGTAGCGCTCCCGCTCGGGCCGCGCCTCGCGCCGCAGCGCCCCGCGCCGCCGCCGCGGCTGCTGCCCGGGGCAGTTCATTCCCGCTCCACTGATCGTCCCTCGGCACTGCACTGCACAAGATGGTCGCCAACGTTCGCACTACGTGGCTTCGAGCCGCCGATTTTACGCTATTGACGCGTACAAAACACTGCACTGCTTAACTTTCACGACTGGCCGTCGGCGGTCGCGCTGCTAGCTCCGATGATGATCGATTTTTAACACGGAATGTGGATGCCTTCTCTCCATTATTCACACCTTCACCTCTCGATTTCGACTACGTGACGTCGCGGCGCTCGAGGTATTTATACCGTCATGGCGGCTGCGCAAACCGCTGCGCGGTGGGGCATTAAGGCGCGCCACTCGTGGCCTTTTTGTTGCTGATCAGACAATTATTCATTTATTACTAATTAGCGATTATAAATCACATGAGCATTAGGAGCAATGAACTAAGTATGCATTTAATTAATAATCATTATGCTGGATGTAATATACCCTTCAGAAGTATACCAGAAGTAGTAAAATTTTAAAAAGCTTTATGCTTATTATTAGTAAAACTACTTTTCAAATACCTTGTCAAAAAGCAAACTGTACAATAATACTATTTAATAGTTAACATTACTTGTAATAAACTAAGCCGTAAAAATTTCAAAGCATAAAAATATTAAAACCTTAAACACAGGTTAAGACATTTGCTTTATGTTTATTTATTATCCGTGATTAATTAACATAATAAATGAACGAATATGCAATAACAGGTCTTGAAACAGATTTTTTTTTATTTATAAGCATTTACATAAGCTTCGCTTTATTTTATAACCAAAATCCTATGTTACTGTATCCTGCGTGTACATTCAGAGAAATCTATTATAGTCAGTGGATGTACTCTATAAGCACCGGTCTTTTCCCAAGTAACATGTTGTGCTTAGTGCTTAACTAACATTCATGTAAGTGTAATTTACCTAATGTAAGGCTTTTTGGAACAATAAATTCATATCACTATTATTACTGGAAATTCTTTAGTACACCTTTAGAGTCGATACTACCTCAGCGTGCTCTTGACCCTGTACATCATTATTCATTATATTAGTTTTGAACCTTATTCATGGAAAGATTTTAAACACAAATTTTAAGTGTTCAACAAAACATCATTTATACTGGAAAAAATAATAACCATGGAAAGGGTTTCAAGGGATTCAATCAGAAAATAAAATATAAATTAATTCATAATAATTTCGTAATTAGTTTCGTTCGTCATTTATTATTATTATTATTTGTGTAAGTACTTATCACATTATGGACATCATGAACTAGATATTAGTGGTTATTTATTTAATTATGCATTTTTTACCTAACTCCTGATAATGTTTGGTTTTTTTCTTATCTCTAACGCCTAAATAAAATATACTTATTTTCCGCCACAGGGGGATATTTGCATCTTTATTGAATCGATTAAAAATGCATAAACTTACGATAAAAATATTTTCAGGGGCACATTGAATTCAGTGCCTGTTCTTGTATTGCATTCAATGTTAGTATAGTTTTAGTCAAGACAATACGATAAAGCACGTATACTACATTTGTATTTGTTATATAAAATCATAAAAATATGCTGAAAATAGCTGTATTTCACTTCCCTCACTAATACATCGAAATTATCTGATCAGCGATAAAAGCCGGGAATGGCAAGCTTTATTCCGTCAGCATAGCAACTCGTAAAAAAGAAACACAATGAAAACAAGGAGGTTCAGAGGAACCCGACCAAATTGAGTAGGTCATAAATACAAAGAGACAATGTATGTCTATATGACTTTCAAATTGAATGGTATATTAATTCAAAATGTCTGCCATGCTTGATAATTTTAGTTGTTTTTGTACTAATTTTGATAAACGGTCGTTTGTTTTTGCAATAACAACCGGCATAGTAATAATTAATTATCTTATTATTTAACATTATTGCGAGTTTGTTCATATATGCCTTATCTGACTTATTGCGTATTTGTTGAACTATAATGCGGCCGGAGTAAACACGTTAGTTTTGTCACCCGAAACATATGGATAAAAACAGCTTATTCTATTTAGTCGCATTATGTAAATACTGTAGTGAAATGGTAGGTATATTTTTGGAAAATTGCTTGTTTAGGGATTTTAAAAATAAAAGTTACTAAATCAAGTTTTATTTAAAAACATTCCGCGTTTATGCATCATATGAAGGTTGTTATATAATCACTTGTAAACGCTAAACTTTCAGGGTGCACATTTAACTGGTACTGGTTTGTTGATTAGGTGGGATTCTTTATGTAATAAAATATCATAATACACACTAAAGTACAAAATAATTACGTGATAAAATCACGTTCTTCATCACGGAGAAACAACGTGACGAAAACCACGGGAAACTATTAGGTAGGCTCTTGAATCACCGTCTCGTAGTGAACAGCTGTGGCATAAAGATGTGGCCTACATAAAAGCAACCCGTGAGTTGCAGTGGAATTTCTAATTTGATATGCCCAAGTTTTTTGAAGTTCCATGTTTTCCAATTGGAGAACATTCATATGGTACTTATGGTACGTTTCTTAAATATGGTCATGAAATATGAAAGAAGTTCGAAACCAGGGTTGTTACGAATATCAGCATCTGCATCCGCATCCGCGGATAATTCGCGTAATTTACAATGTCCGCATCCGCATCAGCTTCCGCGTTCCTTTTGTAAGGTATCGCGTCACAAACTCGCCGTTGCTCCGTGCCCACCTAATGCCCAACGAACTTTTGGAATCTTCACCGGAGTGTGCTCTGCTTTCATGGCGATGGGCGGATATGTGTTGTGAATGCTTGAGATTCTGTGAGATGATGTATCCATCATCATGTATTTTTGTTCTCTCTGTCTCTGTGTTTTAAATTGTTATTTCTTAATTAACTTACTTTCACGGGACATTAGTAACTGTAGTATCGTGTAAATATATTTACTACACACAAATAAACAAATTAATCGATCCTGAAATTCAGTGCCGATATTTTCGTCCTACCATTCATTGATTTACAATTAATTCAGAAACAGACTTGTTCAAAAAGCATAGCAGCCGTCGTCGTTCTTAACGGTAATAGAAGTTCATTCCATTATGATTAATGTAGGCAGACAAGTCACAAAATTATTAAAAAAGCTTTTTCGTGTAGGTCGGTATTCTATGTGTATTCAATAAGAACACATTTTACGCGATTTTTTTTAAATAAATAAATTCAGCACCCGCATCAGCATCTGCTGATGTTAAAGTGAAATCTGCATCCGCATCCGTTGATGTCTATAAAAATCTTAAGCAGTAAAATAAACCTGGCCGAAACTACGTGTTTCCTATTCTGCAGTGTTACTATAGTATTGGCGGTCTGAAGTGAAACTTTGTTTGAGTCCCTTGTATTGGAGCTATTCACAACAACACAAAAAGGCAGTTATAATATTTTCACGAAACAATAAAATAAATAACGAACCTTGTAACCGTTAAAGATAGATAATATCTATTTTTTTCTCATATTCAGTATGAACTATGTTTAAATAATATATTATGTTTCTTTATATTTTATCAGGTTTAGTTTATCATATGCGAGGTAGCTAGAAAAAAATCCATCATTAAATTACTTCATTTTAAGACTAACTTAGATCAGCTCTAGTGCAAAAAGACTAGCGTATCGTTGACAAGATATCGTTAAGCGGAGCATATGGGTGGAAAAAAAAGGAAGTATTTGTACGTACATACAAATAATCGACAGATGTGAGCGAGAAATATACACTTCATACGCATACGCGAGGAATACGTGCGAGGGATGGGTAGGGTGCTCACCATACCACACAGCGTCTCACCCGCTCACACTAGGAAATATAGTCCGCTACACACCTCGCACCGCCTAAATACCTCTTTCGCACATTTCTCCTCGAAACCAATCTTGGCTGTTCTAAGTATTAAACGTGATTTTTATGTGAGAATGTTATGGGAATTCATAGTGTTACAACATTTGACAGATGCGTTTTTTGGTACAATTTAGGTTTAAGGTAAAAAGTAAAAAAGTGACAAATAGTCCAAAATTACAGCTATTGTTGTTCCTTTTATGTGTATTGAATTCTTCATTCGATTTTAAATAAACTTAACGTCAGACCAGGATTTGAGGATTTTTCCGATCACACTTGATTTATCAAATTTTTCGAAGTTTTCGCAAATAATGAGGAAGGAATTGATTCTAGTTTTATTAGGAATTATTGGTACTTCATTCCTTTCGTCACTTTTATCAGGATATGTTCAAGTGGACACAGATAAAGTGCTTTTAGATACCGTTGTCGGCTTTGTTGGCGCAGGCAACTTTTCTTACTGGCAGTTAGGCCACACTGGACCTCTATTAATCGAATTAACGTCTCTGTCTGGTGACGCTGATCTTTACGTGTCAGATAATATCAGGTTTGTTTATAAATAATTAATTTTGGATACAAAACTGCCGTTTTTTGCAAGCAATATTTTTGCGAAAAAATTGTTGTATAATCGAATTTTTAACATTAAACTAGGTTATAATAGAGTTATTTCAGGATTTTTTGAGACATAGGGTACTTACCTTCATAGTTTTATTAAACATGTCTTTATTTTTAAGACTGTACATTACCATCGCACGAATTTGCGGTGGAGGGGTGTGGGAGGGAGAGGAATGCTTTTTTGCAACAAAAAATGTTTTTCGAAAATTTTCTAAATTCGAAAATAAAAGTATACACATTAAATATAATTGTCTTAAATGTGAAATGTACATTCATAGATATAAAACTTTTTAATAAAATATTGCGAAAATTTTTAAAAATTACGCAACATAATAAACGTTTTCGTAAACAAAAAAATATGGAGGAACGAAACTGTTAAACTGTGTGAAAAAACTTTATTATTTTAGTAATTTAGTTCCAACCACCAAAAGCAGAGAGTTCATAACCGTACAAATCCTTTTCATATCATTAATTGTCTAACTGCCTCCGTGGCCAAACGGTTACCATGCCGGACTGCCACGCAGAGGTCCTAGGTTCGATTCCCGGGCCGGAAGAAATATTTGTATAGCCTACATTTATTTATCTCGTGAGTTTGGGTGTAATTTGTGTTTGTCTATGTGTGTGTCCATGGCACCCGCGACAGGGCTTCCCTAGTGCGGGGTGTGTTGAGTGTATGCGTTATAATTAAAACATTTTGCCATTAACAACAGTCCAAGTTGCCCAGTATGTAATTTCAATCAACCAAGAGCTGACACTACTTATATGATTCTGGTTGATAATCAAAGTCAGCCAATCACGACGTTTAAAACTATAGTGAAACAAAAACTTTATACTAAAGGTTATTGTACAGCTTTTGTGTACTTGGATGACGAAAATCCACAGTAGTAACCCCATTTAGCTCTTGCAGGTAGTCAGGATGTGTGATGTTTTAAAAAATTGTGAGCATAATCTGTATTCCTGTTCTATACTCAAAAATGTCCATTTGGTACAGAATATTCTTTAATGGAAGTTAAGTTTTGAATTTTGTTTCAGGCCCAGTTATGAGGTAGACAAAAATAATTTCAGCTCGGTGACTTGTGGACCTGACATGGTCAGCATTCCAGCAGAATTTCCGAGGCCTTTAGGTAAGTTGAAATAATAATAGACTAGCAGTGCTCTGACTAAATATGCTGTTATATTAATAAGTAGTTTTTCAGTTCTCATGCTCTAAAAGTACATCAATATATCCTTACGTAGCGGGAGTAATGTGCATCCATTAAAGTACCTTATTTTTTAATTTACTATTCAATTCTTAACTTTCTTGAAGAATTTTGCCAATCAGTCATGGCACTTATACTTTTTTTTATGTTTAATTAATTAACACTGCTCTTAAGTCTATTCCGGCTTCTGGAACAATACAAAACAGTACGATATACCATCACCATTAAAGAATAAGTTTTACAATTTAAGTTTGTTAATACTAATAAAATTAATTATTAAATTTAAGAAGGGATTTGTAAAAACATAACAGAAACTGGAAATTTACGGGGGACGAGGAATAGAAGGTGGAAGATTATCATAAATAGAAAATGTTCTGGTAGGGCAGTTGAAAATTTTTAATTTACTTCGAGTGAACGAACTGAAACAGTCTGTAGTACTCTCGGTTTTAGTTCCGTGCCTTTTCCGCATAGACGGTGGCGCCGTATTATTTTCCCGCGTTAATGCGTTTGTTGTATCTGTATCTGGTTGGAAAAAAAACCGCGAAAACTTCAGAATTTTGCCTCGTAATTTTGTTGTAAAGCGAAAACGATTGAAATATACATCTTTTTCTCGCAATCAAAGTGAAAAGTAAAGTTTTCACCTCGAGACTAAGGGTTGTACTCCAGAATTCTACTCAATGCTCAAGACAGGACTTGAGTATGATTTCAAGCACTGGAAATACGACCCTAATGGCAAGGACTTGAGTATGATTTCAAGCAGAGTTTTTATTCCAGAACATTACCAACCAGAATCCGTATTCCATACCCACGTCTCATTTCGTTCATTTACTATGATTGGTTAAACTAATTGTCTTTCCAAATCTTGGTTGAACCTATATCGCTGCTTGAATCTGTGTTCCTCCATGTCGTGTGTCGGGTCTTGTGGGTCTTTCAACGACCGAAGCAATTGAGTATGATATTCATCATTGACATATTTTGATAAAAATCAAAATTTTTAAATGCTTTCATCGTAATATTGTAATTTTTTCGCCGATTATTATGTAGATTTTGACAACACCTAAGACCGGATTTTACAATTAAGTACCGTTTAGGACTCCGCAAAGTTGAAACGAATCTCGAGCATTGTTTAAAAATAAGCCACAAGCTGTCACTTCCTCTGACATTACTCAGGTGAACCCCGATTACAGATTCTACGCTTGGGTAATGTTCTGGAATGAAAACTCTGCTTGAAATCATACTCAAGTCCTGACTTGAGCATTGAGTAGAGTTCTAGAATACGACCCTAGACTAAAAGCCAATATAAACCCTCGGAGTAACTCTAACCACCTCGGGTTTATATTGGCTCATATTGGCTCATTTTAGTCACTCGATAGAAAATATAATATTATGTAAAATTACATCTATGTGTCAAATTGTATTGAAATCGGTTAACAGAAAGTGGGTGAATTCATAAACCGGACTCATCCCCTAATTTACGACCCTTAGAAGTGGAATATTTTCATCAAAAAGTGAGACCACTATTGAGGTACCCCCTTTCCAACTAAAAAATGTGAACACATGAAGTCGGTTAAACAAAAAAAAACACTCAAGTGACACTTTAAAAAAATCCAGTTCTCTGTTTCAGGCATAGGCGTGTTTGGCCACTGGACTCACACCTTCTCAGAATACAGCATCCAAGTCTTCCTGGACGCTTCAGCTGTGGACCAACTCTCATTGCTGGACAAAGCCAACCCTTCTGACGCACCAGGTTCGATAAATATTAGAAATAGCTCTTTTAACTATATCAAAGAAATCAGAAACCAGGAATGCTTTAAATATTATTTCTTTTAGCGGTTTTTAAACAATTTGGTATTCGTTAGAAGAACTTTGTCCAGCATTTGAGCTTAAATTATGGCAATATTGGTGCAGTTTCTGTGGCTACAAATTCTTAAACTTATTTGTAGGGAATATGAATTAGATAACTTGGGACCATGAGAATTTCAAAGGGGCAGCGGCTGATGCGGGGATCTCGTGACTCATAAGGTGGTTACTAACATGATATCATTTAATATCATGAAATGACTCCTATACTTTGTTATAATGAATACACAGAGAAATTCCTTGTATATAATTATGACAAAACAGTAATTCCACAAAAAATAAATGAATATTATCGTGTTAGTAAATCATGACATTCAATGAAATCAATGTTACAATTTATAAAGCGATATCTCCTATCAGTTTCTAGAAGCTGTAAAGACAGTTGTTGGAGTGAAGAGAAACTTTCATAGATTTCTCACAGGTTCTCAGGATCTGTAACAAACGCATTCAGAAATTGATAAGGTCTGCTGACTCGATCTGTAGGTCTGTTGGTAGAGCGGGTGTCCTAGATTGCCATGTAGACGCAGGTTTGAATCCCGTCAAATCAAAGGATGGTTTCTTTGTACTAATAATTATCTTAGGGAAGGGTTATGTATCTTGATTAAGCGAGTATGGTTATGAAATAAGAATGTCTGCGTGTATTTTATGGGAGCGCGTAGGTTTGATGAATGAAGTAGAAGCCGCAGACCCGCCGTTTGGTTCGCGCTGCACGCAGTGAAGGCTGTGATTGGTTAAAATCCATTGGGACAGGTTATCATTGAATATAAGTTTTTAATGCGGTGGAGTATGCGTGTTGCAGCGCGTTGTCTAGTACAATCTTGGTAAAACGTGAAAAAATTTAGGCAAGCCGGTAGGAACCGAGTTACATGGATGCGCACACCACTGATACCCAAACCAGAACTAATTTAGAAACGTTAATTTCCCGGATAAGTCCTATCGGGAATCGAACCCTGGGTTTATCTAATGCCCTCAGTGCAAATCATTGGGCCACCGAGGTCGACAAATAATGAGTAAATACCGAGCTAACGCTTCAATTCTATGCACTGCGAGATTATGCGAATGTGTGGGTCCGTACACGGCGCATGACAGGCGTGCACACATACAAGCCTCGCTGTCACGTTTGTATGGAGTTACACTATATATCTTATTATACATGCCAATAGTTTGTCTTTGTCTCTGTTAAGCTGAATACTTCTTTTTTACACTAACTGCAATAGTTTAATATTCTTTTTCCCTTTCACTCTCTGCTCTAGTTTATGAAATTGGGTGTTACAGAATCGACACCGACTTTTATTTAACGGCCTATTAACTACAATATATATTTAGTAATGTTTTAGTTCATTGGGACATAACATCGAGTATATAACCATAAATAGGGACGAAATAAGGCCCATCTATCACTGACAAATGGGCCTTATATCACTTTTAAATACCAACTCTCGTTTGCGCTGAAATCACAAATTAGAAAGCTAAAACAGCGCCAACAACTGACACAGGTCAGACTCCGTATATTCCAAAAATATTCTGTATTTATTGTAATAAAGATAATATCTCCAATAATGGGGGGTTGTTCCATTCGGTGATGTGGGGAAAAACAGCAAAACATCGAATTACAAAACAAATGGAATCACATTTCATCAGTAATTAAATATGAAATATGTAATTTTTCAATTTTCGTCCTAACGGATATGCTATAATTAGCAAAGCTCAAGTTAAACTGGTCGATTTGAAGTGAAACAATTGACGACGCTCGTCACTTATTTCGAATTCGCGTTGGCCAATCAGAGCGCAGTTGTTACTGTAATGATTTGGCAGAATAGTTTTCCAACAAATTAAATAACATTTCGTCTCTATTTCTTGTTATGTACTCGATGGGACATAATTACTTATAGTCGGATTTTTAATTGACGATATCAAACTGACGTTAAGTGGGCTTCTAGTTTTTGATTAAATAAAGTAGTGTTTTCTCATATAATCGATTTCACTGATTCATTCGGTAGATAAATTATAGCAACTTCATAAGTTTCTCACAGGTGCGTATCTGTAACAAACACTAAATAAATTTGTAAGGTTTTCTGTCTGGATAGCCCGGACATGGCAACAGACACTGGTTCGAGTGTTGCCAGATCGAAGGAATTGTTCTGTGTGTTGTAAACTGACAGCATATGCTTGTTTGTATTGGGTTTGAACGACTTTTTTGCCGTCTACGCCACATATGGGAAACTTATAAGTTTTTCCACACTTTACAAATGTCTTAAGCTCTCAGTTTGTTTCTTGAATTAAAAATTTGCCTCAGCGAAATATCTTTCAAGGTAGTGATGTTTTTAGACCTTGAATTTGTGGTGCTTTTAATGTTTATTGACATTGATGCTAATCATTAAGTGGTTGGAATTTGAAGCAGATGTTCAAATTAAAAAAAAAGTTTTTGAAATTCCACATTACGGCGAGGACCGATACCTATCTTATCGGGTTAGACAATTTTTTACCTTATAAAGTAAATAATACCTCCATCTGAATAATAACAATAATTCGTTTATTTGCTTAAAACATGGTATAACAGAAGATGTTACAGGAGACAATGCCACTACAAACATGTTTCGCATAACATTAAATAGCACGCAAAAATCAATGAAAACCCGGAATGTTTATTTTATTATTTGTGAACTTCCACTCCACTAGTTTTTGTCGTACCGTCACCTGTGAGAAATCTATGAAAATTTTTTCTTCATTTACATTTTGATTTACAATTAAAAATTTGTAACACACTACCGTTTTAAATATAGAACAAAATACAATTCAATAATTCCGAGGGATGTATTATGCACTCTATGTTTATTACTTCCTTGGCGTATATAGCGTCTTGTTCCAAAGTTCTTCGTCAAATTATAACCAAAGAGTAAACCCAGAGTGCTATGTTTGAAACAAATTAAGTATCTTTATAAGAGGTAGTGAACGCATATACCAAATACATAATGTTACATATAAATATGATATTAAAATTCCTAATTTTCTAGTAGCAAATAAAAGTACTGGTTTGCCAGAAGTTCTGTATTATGACATTGAGCAACAACATGCAGAGCTTCCTGACCTAACCGGTGAAGTGATACATGCAAACCCTTGGGAAATATATGTAGTCTCAAACCCGCATTGGGCCAGCATGGCAGATATGGCCCAAACAGTATTTTTAGAAAAGATAATAGGTTGATTATGAGGAAGTACTTTTTTTACATTCATAGTATAGATCAGCTGTATTCAAACAGGTGGCATTTATTTACATGTATTTTATAAAAAATAAGTGCGCATTTGACATCCATGTCACCTGATGGAAATTGTCGTTGTTATTAAGAAGGTGCTTTTTAAAACTTTAGGTTTCCTTTTTTAAATCCAGAGCGAGACAAGTTTAGGTTTGTGTTTTATTTATTACAGGAGAGTTTGGGAATTGTTAATACGGACCGGTCATTATCAGTGACCAAAAGCAACTGCCAACATGATAAATTTATTACTTTAACATTGTCCTGTATTTCTCTTCAGATGTTCGTTCGTAGTAGCAGAAAATAACAAATTTTCAGTTTATTCCCAAAAACAATAAAGAACTTCCCGAATATTCCGAAATCTGACAAACTCTGTCACATTTAATGTTACTTATCATCTTCTGCAGCAATGAAAACGAATAAAAATTAAATCTGCCCAAATAGCAGAAATCTGCCACAAATCACACTGTTCTCAATATCAATGTAACATTGACATTGGCAAGAGGTCTCTTCTCAAATTGTTCGTTTGCAACTTTCATATTTTTCAACTGATTTTAATATTGTTTAAATATTTTTGTCACATTGTGTTTTATTTTTTACTTTATGTCATAGCTGTTTAATTGATTAGGTATTTTATAGCTTTAATGTTTTATGTGTGTACTATAAAATAACCAATACTTACGTAGGTAAACATTCAATCATGCTTATATGCATGCATAAAATACAAGAACGTTACCTAATCTATAGTCGAACTGAATCAATTGCGTTGTGTTCTTGCATCTATTCTAAAATACAATGTTTTACAATTTTTTTATTCCCGACTTCTAAGAATATACAAAAATATATTAATAACTAGGCATAAACTAAAACGCAAAATTATACTAGCAAAGTCCATGAACAGCTCTTCGTTGTTATTGCGACAGCTTTCGCCATCCTTCTTTTATTTAAAAGTAATTTTTGAAATGAGATACGTAAGGTTGAGTTTTAGATCATTTTGACGCAGAATTTGCCTAGGTCAAACTGTCATATCCTAGCAATCTGTTATTGCTAAATTACTGTCTCGATATTGTAACTGAACTAAGTTATATTAACATAACTAATTTATGATAATTTAAATAATATTAATGAATAGGTTTTGGACTTGTACTTACATAATAGATGTAGCAAAACGATCTCAGTGTGTCATTATAATAATTTATTACAATAATTATAAAAATCTTAGTATAAATATTAATATTAAAAACAACATGCTTTCTAAATATGGTGGTATTATTGATACAATTCCTAAAGAGTGCAAGCGTTCTTTAAACAAATAAATGTAATTTGAATAATAACTAGAGTTGCAACAACTATTCGATTATATCGATTTATTCGGCCGAATACCTAAAAATAGAAGGAAAATAAGAAAAACATCATGTAACTATTATTAACGGTGAACACACATTGTACACATTTTTCGCTTTATCAAGAAGACCAAAGAAAATGTAACGTAACTAAGTTAATTTTTCGAAATAAAAAAGGGTAACATTAAGGAAAACTATAAACGGTAGAATTCAGAATACGACTGCAATCACTAGCTGCTTGCAAGCGGGCAACATTTTTGTGCTATGAACTTTGTCATTTTACTTCATCTTAAAAAAATATCGATTATACCATGGAATATATAATATACACATTGACTTACAATTATATGGACGTCGGGTCCGCG